GAGCCACCTTCCCAGCCCCATATTTAATATTTAATATAAGACCACAGATTTGTTATTGTCAAGGTGATGTGTAGAGGGGTTACAGTTATATAAGTAAGGTAATGAGTACCTTTCTTGTCAAACTTGTTACCCCTTCCCTCATTTTTCTCCTACTTTCCCTCCCCCAACCTCCCCAAATTGTTTACAGATCATATCCAACATATTGTCTTGTGTTTGTCACTGTTGTATTGGTTCCCCTCTTGTCTTTTATCTCACCATCCTGTTGTTCCCCTTCTCTTTCCTAATTGAAATAAACGTATATACAACACCAGACCACCAAAATCAAATACTATGACAACATGGTATATATATGTATATATATACCATAGGGGGAAGAACATAAAAAAGAAACAGAGTACATTAAAAACAAAACAACAAAGAAAAGCATCTTGTGTCCCTGTCTTGGAGTTCATTTCCCTTAGCATCATCTTATATGGTTATATGTACATAGTTATTGAGCTGTTCTCCTCATCTGCTAAGCTTATCCTAGACATATACTAGTTATTGCAAATAAGGGAAACCATGGGACCTATGTTTCTTTGGGTTTGCCTTACTTCACTTAATAAGATTTTTTCCAAGTCTTTCCATTTCCTTACAAATGGGATGGTGTCATTGTTTCTGATGGAAGCATAGAAGTCCATTGTGTGTGTGTGTGTGTGTGTGTGTGTGTGTGTGTGTGTGTGTGTGTGTGTGTGTGTGTGTGTGTGTGTGTGTGTGTATCACATTTTCTTGATCATTCATCTACTGAAGGACATCTGGGTTGGTTCCATATCTTTGCTATGGTGAATAATGCTGCGATAAACATAGTCGTGCTGGTAGCTTTAGTATGGCCTTGTTTGTGATCATTTGGGTAAATGTCTAAAAGTGGGATTACTGGGTCATAAAAGGAGCTTTATGTGTAAACTTTTGATGAACCTCCATACTGCTTTCCAGAGTGGTTGAACAAGTTTACACTCCCACCAATAGTACAGTAGGCCTCCCTTTTGGTCCCTCCAGCATCTGGTGGTGTTAGATTTCTTGATTCTAGCTATTCTAACTGGGGTAAGGTGGAATCTCAATATTGTTTTGACTTGTATTTCTTTTATGGCTAGAGAAGTTGAGGATTTCTTCATGTGTCTATTGGGCATTCTTATTTCAGAGAAGTCTCTCTTTAACTCTTTAGCCCACTTATTATTGGGTGGTTATTTCTTTGAGGATTTGTTTTGGGGGGATTTAATTTTTTGAGTTCTAAGTATATATAGTATATAGCTAGTGAAGATCTTCTCCTAATTCGTGGGCTTTCTACTGATCTTGCTAGTTATGTTCTTTACCATGCAGAAGCTCCGCATTTTCATGCCATCCCATTTGTCCAACCTTTCTTTGATTTGTCGTGTGTCTGGATCTGTATTAAGAAAGTTTCGGCCTGTGCCAAGGAGCCCTAGAGTTTCTCCTAGTCCTTACTGTAATGTTTTCAGGGTGTCTGCTTTGACTTTGAGGTCTTTGACCTATTTGGAGTTGATTCTGGTGCATGGTGATATATAAGGATCTAACTTTAGTTTTCTACAGGTGTTTAACCAATTTTGCCAGCACCATTTACTGAAGAGGCTGTCCTTCCTCCATCCTATTTTTCCCTTATAGAAAATTAGATGGTTATAGGTCTACAGGTTCATTTCTGGGTGTTCAGTTCCTCAGGTCTGTTCTTGTGCCAGTACCAAGATGTTTCGATTATTTGAAGTAGAGTTTGAAGTTTAGTTTAGATATTCCTCCAGCACTGTTCTTTCTGTTAAGGATTGTTTTTGCTATTCAGGTTTTTTATTGTTCCATATGAAATTTTGGATTGTTTTTTCTATTTACTGAAGAATATGGTTGGGATATTGATGGGTATTGCATTGAATTTCTAGATAACCTTTGGCAGTATTGCCACTTTCACAATGTTAATACTCCAAATCCAGGAGCATGGGAGGTTTTTCCACTTCCTTAGTTCTGCTTTAATTCCCTTTTTCAGGTTTTTTAATGTTTTCATCATAGAGATCCTTCACTTCTTCAATTAAGTTAATTCCTAGGTATTTTATTTGTGTGTGGGGGGGGGGGGAGATATTACAAAAGGAATTGCTTTCCTGATTTCAGTCACATTCTTCTCATTGTTGGCATACAGAAAAGCCACTGATTTTTGAGGGTTAATTTTATACCCTACTATTTTGCCAAAGTTTCTGATCAGCTTGAGTAACTTGGAAGTTGAGTCCCTGGGGTTCTTTAAATATACAGGATCATGTCATCTGTAAAGAAGGAGAGTTTTACCTCATCTTTCTCTATTTGGATCACCTTTATGTTTGCATCTTACTTTATTGCTCAAGCTAGGCCAGATAAGTTGAAGAGGAGTGGAGAAAGGGGACATCCTTGTCTATTCTTGAATTTAGAGGAAACGCCTTTAGCTTTTTGCCATTAAGTATAATGCTGGCTGTAGGTTTGTCATATAGCCTTTATTTTATTGAGGAATGTTCCATGGATTCCTAGTTTTTCTAGAGCTTTCATCATAAAGGGGTGTTGGATCTTGTCAAATGTTTTTATGCATCTATTGGGATGGATATAAAACTACAAATTTTTTAATGTGTATCTTTTTTTCTCCCTAGTCTGAAGAGGCCTTGGCACTCTCCCTGAGCTTCTTTTGCTCAAGACTAGAACTCTATCTCTTGAGTCACACCTCCACTCTGGCTTTTTGGGTGACTATGGCAATAAGAGACTCATGGATATTTCTACTTTCCTCCCCAGCCTGGCTTCAAATCATGATCCTCAGATCTCAGCTTCTTGAGTAGCTAGGATTATAGGCATGAGCCATTAGTGATTGGCTAATATATTCCTTTACATTAATCATTCCACAAGAATCAGTGTTCTATATTATTAACTTCACAAACCTCTGCTTCATTTGTGTCTACCCAACATCTGTCACAGTAGCTACATAATATTCCTTTTTGATAATGTCTCACCTGGTTAAAAAAGAGCAATCTCTATTTGAAGCTTGCCACTGTCCTGCCTCATGTCTCATTTTTCTAACTATATGCTAGTACATTTTGATTATGGGAAATATTAATTATAAGAATAAAGTTTTATTTCTTTTGGCTTTTGTACTTAATCTCCATGTCATGTTTGAAATTAGTCTTCAGCTATTTTCTGTCAGGAGATAAGTACACCAACAATAAAACAAACAATAAAAATAGATCAACAAACAAAAAAAATCTTAGAATATGCTGTTTTTAATTTCTGTACTCACAATTTGTGTTTTATTCTTTTGTCTTGTGTTGATGTCAGAGTAGTTGAGATTGTTTATATCTATGCATTATAAATTCTTACCACTGCTTCTACCTTTGGTAAGAAACAAGTAAGTGTAAGATTTTTCTCTATGGTTATTTAAAAAAGGTTACAAAAATTATCCAGGTAATTTTTCCATGGAATTAAAAGCCTTCTGTTTTTACTTTAAAAAAATCAACATACTTTCAATTGCGTATTTGTTCATTTATCATATATGTATGTGCTTTTTTGCATTTTACAATTATAAATGCCAATTTTTTTGTTGCTTTTCCCTCAGTCCATGAATGTTGCCTTTGCCAGGGCTTTCTTCCCTCCTCATGGAGTTAGTTCATTGATTTCATTTCTAAAGGGACTTGTCTTGACTCTGGTATTCTCCCAATTCCACCCATTCCTTTTCCAGTTAGTGGACTTTTTATTTATTTTACAAAGTCAGAAACTATAGTGTTAACTGCCTTAGGAAGATAATCAACAATGGAAGAATTGCTATTTTTCAACAGAAGATATTCAACTTTCCAAATTCTGTATCTTTCTTTTATTGCTAGAGCAACACTTCTACCTTCACAAGATCAGAGTGGAGAGATTTTCTGGCAAGGGATTGCACTTTTAAAAATACCAAGAGGATATAAACAATGTGAGTGGGACATTGTCTTGTCATTCTTGTAAATCACTCCTAATCAAATTTGAGACAGTGATATATCACTTAAGTTTGTGAGAAATATATCTACAAAGTAAACATTTATAAATCATTCTTGCCTCATCAAAATAAGACCTATGATCACTTCTTCAAGAAGAGTTTTGCCTTAAACATTTATTTATTCATTCATTCATTCATTTATTAAAAGAGCCATAAGCATACAAGCCCTCTTCTGCTGAACCGTACCACTATCCTTGTTTTACACATATTTTGGAAATACGTTTACATTGCCTGAAAATAAGAAAAAAGGAAAGTACACGTATCTTTACAAGTATCTGTTGTAATGCTTTCCATGTTAGCTAGGATAACAGATATTGAGGGAAACTCCCATCTCCTTGCCATTGAGATACAGTCTCAAAAGCTTTAGCTCATTCTGGATTAGAAACAGGGTCTTCCCCACCTCAGCTCCATGTAACTTATGGAGAAGCATTTTGCACAATTGCGCACACAGGAATGGATTATGAAAGAGTTTGTGATTTTTTTTTTTGCCTGGGCTGACCTAAACCTGAGATCCTTCCATTCTCAATCTCTAAAATAGCTAGAATACTGTTGACAGCTACCAACTTGAGTCTCTTTTGCTTTAACTATTTCTTAGAGAAAGGTTCATAGTTAAAGAGCAGAATACTGAATCCATGTATCCCTCATCTAAACTCAGGAAGTATCAATTCATGGCCAGTGTCATTCTCTGCATACTCACTGTCTGATTCTGACACACAAAAGATAAAGAGAATGGCTTGGACTTAAGGAAAATCTACTCTAAGCCATAGCTTGTTCGCTCTCCTCCACCCTGCTCTGCTTACAATTGACTCACCACTATCTGAACATTCTGTTTCTTTCTTATTTTAGTCTGCTGTTCTGAAGGATTGATTCTGACAGAAGGGAAACTTGTATAAATGCACACTGCACACAACCAAGACAAACGGTAGAGACAGGCCACCCCTGCCACTGTCCTCTCTCTTCTTTGATCTCCTCATATCCCATGATGGCAGAGTTGAAGAACATGCTGCATATGTGGATCACTGTCCTGCAGCTCTGGTTTGGGCTGTCTCTCTGCCTTTCTGAATGGCCTCAGACTGGGCAGGCTCAATATGAAAGCCCCCCAGAAGTGGTGATACCCTTGAAGGTAGCTGGCACTGGCAGAGGCACAAAAACTCGAGGATGGTTGTCTTACAGCCTGTACTTTGGGGGTCAGAGACACATTGTCCACATGAAGGCCAAGAAGCTGTTGATTTCCAGACATTTCTCTGTGTTCACATACACAGACAAGGGGGATCTCCTTGAGGACTGGCCTTACATCCAGAATGACTGTTATTATCAGGGTTATGTAGAAGGAAATGAAATGTCCATGGTGGCTATTAACACCTGCTTTGGGGGCTTTCAAGGAACAATACAAGTCAATGATATACAATATGAAATCAAGCCCAAGATCCCTTCTAACAGCTTTGAACATGTGGTTTATAAGACAGACACTGAGGAGGAAAATTCACACCCCTTGAGATGTGCATTGACAGAAGAAGAAATAGAAAACCAATTGAAGTTTCAAGAGAATGATAACTTTATGATGAGGCAAAGCGGTTATGAAGGCTGGTGGACCCACAAAGCCTTTCTTGAACTTATACTTATTGTTGACAATCAACGATACAATTATCGGCATGGCAATCTTTCACATGTCTTACAAGATGTGTTTTTCATTCTTAATGAAATAGGTACAACTTTCTCTGCAATTGATCTTGAGATTAATTTAATTGCAGTTGAAGTGTGGACTACTCAAAATTTTGTAGCAGGAAATAATACAGGTTATCTCTTAGATAAGTTTTGTGATTGGAAGGAAGGTAGATTGGACCGTCGTATAAGAAGTGATGCGGCACATCTCTTAATACACCAGTATTTTGGTATGTTTCTTGGTAAAGCGTATGTTGGAGGTGTATGTATGTCTTATAGTTGTGGAGTCGAACGGCTGCTTGGCGAGAATTTGGTTGCCGCAGCAAACACTGTTGCACATGAGATGAGTCACGGTTTGGGCATGCCTCATGATGGAAGGTATTGTTCCTGTGGACAGAGAGACTGCATCATGGCTCCAGCACAAAATCCTTCCGTGAAATTTAGCAACTGCAGCTATGCTTCACTTGTACACACTTACAGAAATAAGCACTGTCTGCGCTTGCCAGCAGATTCATCACGCCTATATAAATTTCAGCTATGTGGGAATGGTGTAATTGATGATGAAGAGGAGTGTGACTGTGGGTCTAAAAAATTGTGTGAAACAGACCCGTGCTGTCTGGCAAACTGCACTCTAACAGCTGGGTCCGAATGTGCTAGTGGGCTCTGTTGCAAGGACTGTCACTTCCTGCCTTCAGGCACACTGTGCAGAGAACAGGAAAACCATTGTGATCTTCCAGAGTGGTGTAACGGTACAACGCCAGATTGCCCAGATGATGTGTACATGATGGATGGCTCCCCTTGCTTGCACACTGGCTATTGCTATGAAAATAGATGCAATGACCGAGACGAACAATGTCAGAAGATTTTTGGTGAAGAGGCCAGAAATGCAAATGAGACTTGCTACCGACACATGAACACCAAAGGTGACCGTTCTGGAAACTGTGGTGTCTATAGCAATAGGTACGTAAGCTGCGTGATCTCAGATATCCTCTGTGGAAGAGTTCAGTGTGACAACGTGTCAAAGATCCCTCTTTTGGAAGAGCATTATAGTATACATTGGGATCGCATCAATGACTTCAACTGCTGGGGTACTGACTTCCATTGGGGGATGTCCGCACCAGATCTTGGTGAAATCAAAGACGGGACAGAATGTGGTGAGGGACGTATGTGCCTCAAGAGGAAATGTGTACCAAAACCCGCTTGGGAGAGTGAGTGTTCACCAGGGTCCTGCAATTTGCAAGGTATCTGCAACAACAAACATCACTGCCATTGCAACTATGGGTGGAGTCCGCCGTTCTGTGAGGTGCAAGGCTTTGGAGGTAGTGTTGATAGTGGCCCACCTCCTGCGAAACTGGAAGAACCGAGAACTGCGAAGAGAAACTTTTACTTAATACCAATTTTTCTCTTTACTTTTTTCACTGTGCTTATTGCTTTATCCATTGTGTATTTGAAGAGGGAGAAAATAATATAACATTAGACAGAAGTGCAAATTTTTGAAATACCACCTGAGAATAACATTTCACTCATGAGAGAAGAACAAAAGGTTTCAAAGATCACCTGTGGGAAAAAAAATTTTTTTTAAACCTTCAAGAAGTAAGAGCTCTGTGTTCAAACATTACCTAAAAAGAAGATCTCCATTGTCCAATCTTCATGAAGGGCAGTGAGCCAAATTTTACAATTGAAAAAATCCTCAGTGAAGTTTCCTATGAATTGGCTTTTAGTATTCTTGCAGTAGAAATGTTACTGCCTGTGTCAGAAACCACTGACAGAATGGTCCAGAAAGGTCACAACTTGCACCATCAGAAATGTCAATAAAAAGTGAGCCCTAACATATTTTGCCTGTTCATTAATTAAGCATCTTATTGCTTGTTTTTATTAAAATTCTTGCCTTTAGTTTCACAAGCAAACCTGTCTCGCCAATGCATGTTTCTCCCCTCCTCTTTCAATCTCTTTTTAGTTTGTGGACTTTCATATGATGTCTTTCAATTCTATTTTCTCTCTAATTTGTTACAGTAAGAAGGGACTCTCAAATTTCATTTCCATTGTATCCATCTTTATTGTAATTTCTGCTCCTATAGGTGCTAGAAGAACATTTGGGCCACAGGGAGAGTTCGTAGCAATGTACCTTCAATAGCAGCACTCTACCTGCTAGTAGCAGTGGCTTCCAGCTTGCACATTCACACACACACACACACACACACACACACACACACACACATACACACACACACACATAAGAGAACCAGTACTGTCACCAGCCCCAGTGACATAACACAACCATTAGCTATACCTTCTGATCTGAATTTTGGGGTCCTAGGAGATTGTGACATATTCAGAACTCTGGATTTGACGGTCCCGAACCTCTTTCATATATTGGAATTTATGCATCTTCTATTTTCAGTGAAACAAAAACCCAAAACACACTAAACCTTACAACAATACTTAACAGTAATGTAGAGACAGAGAAGCTTAAACAGGAGCATATGAACCAAAAATAATTCTGAGAGGAGGTGATGAGTGATCTCTCGTATTTCCCCTCTTGTATTGCCACATACATGGGAATTGAAGATGTGGTCTGGCCCAGGGAGAGGAGAGGATCTCTATTAGGAAGAGAAATGAATGAAATCTAACCCTACAATCATGAGATAGAAGTTTTTGGTCCTTCAATTTTCATTATTTTCCATCAAGTTACATTTGTTGAATTTGATGGCTTAGTAGGATGCTGCTGCCAAGCCTAAATTTTTTTAAATGGCATCTCTTCATAACCCATATTGTCAGAACAGAAAATAAGGCTTCTCCCATGTAAAAGCATGGATTCTCTAAGAGGACATTTTTTTTTTAATTTGGCATTTGATAAGAACTTGGAGAGCTACATAGTAAACTTTTAGATTATAGAGGTTAACTTCCATGATGTTTTAGGCCTGTGTAAATAAAAATACGCAGTCAAATGAAAGTCTTCAGTCTCATATCTTAAGCAATACTCTCAAAGTAAAGAGAATTAGTCCCAGACATACTGAAAAATCACCTCTGACCTAACTAAAAAAAACAATGGGAATGGGCAATCATTCTTTAGTCTGTACACAGAGGAAATAGCAGAGGATTTCTTGTGGAACCACATGGAAATTTTATGGTGGTTTTAATGCACAATGACCTACCATCAGCACATTATCTCTCTACATACAGTTTTAGTTTGAATGGCTCCTCAAAAATCATATCGAAATTGAATGTCCAATTATTTCATTGTAGAACAATTGGGAGTTGAGGCTCTAAAAGTTTATTTAGGCAGGACTTTTATGATGGACTAAGGCTACTATAACCACATGGGCGGATGGTATAGGTGTCCCCTGGTTATAAAGAGAGGTCCTGCTCTCCCATGTACCTGCTGTACTTCTGTCTGTCATTATGAAGAGAAGCACCATAGTCTCTCAAGGGACTGCATCAACACAGTCTTGGAATTCCTTCCTTCTAAAACTGTGAGTAATTTCTTGCTGCCATAAATGATGTAGAAGATAGGAGTTCTGTTCTAACCCAAGAAAAGAGAACAAGTTAAACTGTACTAGGACTTGCCATTGTAATAAACTACTTAGTTATTGGACATCTTGGGGACTAGATACTAAGTGGAGGCTGGAGGAATTTGTGGGAACTACCAATAAAGAGAATTAAGATTGATTCTCATGAGGGCTCAGCAAAGATGACAAGGAAAATACTAAAAGTGATTATTATCATAACCAAAATGATTTCAGTAATATAGAAACTATGGGTGGTTCTGCCAGATAGCAATGAGAAATTTCCTAGCTATTGTAAACTCAAGGAAAGCCCACACGTGTGATCCACACTTCTACAGTGAGATTGCAGAAATGGGTTCATGCCCTAAAACCTAAAAGGTACAAATTTAAGTGATAATTCAAGATAGCTTTAGGATAAATACCTAAAATACCTAAGCTGCAAATCTTTCAAGATGTCATGTGGCTTTTGTGGCCACCTAAGGTAAGATGAAAAAGAATATTTTCATTACATGCAGAACTTATACTGCAATTGCAAAAGGATTTGGAAAACTCATTGGCTGGTGTTACAAAAAGAAATATGATAGTTCTGTGCAGAATTCTAGGATATGGTTAAGAAAGTTTTTCAAAATTCCTGCATTCTTTCTCATAAAGAAAAGTCCCTGGCACTCAAAAGGTGGGAAGGTACACCCAGGAGAAGGAGGTAGACTAATGAAAAGAGGAAGAAGGAAGAGCAGAAAGCCATAAAATTCAACGCATATCCTACCAAAAAAAATTAAGAGAAGTGGTAGGGTTGGAAGGGGTGAGGGAGAATGATAAAAAGGGGTGACACTGATCAAGAAGCATTGTATTCATAAACTGCTTTGTTGAATGGCAACTCCTTTGTACAACTGCTTAAAGATAGCATCTTTATTTTAAAGAATTGAGACAGAGATTATGCTTTGAAAAAAAATCTCCAGAATTGAATACAAATGGTCAACTTAACAGTAACACTGGAAAACAGAAAATGCTGTGCTGAAAGAAAACAATTCTGAGTTCTTACTTTAAAAAATTCAGAGATGGAAGTGGCACCACAGCTCAAGAGGTAGAGCGCTAGCCTTGAGCTGAAAAGCTGAGGGACAGCGCCCAGGCCCAGAGTTCAAGCCCCATGACCGACAAAAAAAATAAAATAAAATAAATCCAATTCAGAGTTACAAAATAAATAGCCTAATAATGTACCTCATATCTCTAGAAGAACACAATTACAAACCAAAAGCAAATTCAGAAAGAAATAAGCTCAGTGCTAGTGGCTCATGCCTGAAATCCTAGTTATTCAGACGACTGAGAAGTGAGGTTTCAAATCAGAAGCCAGCACGAGCAGACCAATCAGAGAGACTGTTAGATCCAAGGACCAGCAAAAAACAACACAAAGATGTAGCTGAAGTGTTGGGGAAGGGGGGTGATTTTGCGTGAAAAACCAAGAGACCACAAGTTTCTGAGTAGAAAGAAGAGAAAGAGAAAGAAAATAGAGAGTGAGAGAAAGAAAGAAAGAAAAAGAAAGGAAGGAAGGAAGGAGAAAGAAATAGAAAAGGAAAAGGGGAAAGAAAGGGAGAAAGAAAGAGAAAAAAGGAAAGAAGGAAGGAAAAGAAGAAAAGGGAGGGAGGAAAGAAGGAAGAGAAGAAAGAGAAGAAATAGAAAAGGAAAGAAAGGAGAACGAGGGAAGGAGATTGAGAATGAAGGAGAGAGGAAGGAATGGAGGGACTGAAAGTTGGAGGATAAGAGGGAGAAAGAGAATGAAAGAAAAAGAGAAGGAAGGAAGGGAGAAAGAAAGGGAAGATTGATAAGGAGGTAGAGTGGGGAAAGAAGGGAAGGAGAGAGGGATGAGTGAAAGGGAGACAGAGAAGGAAAGAAAGAAGAGAGACAGGAGTTTACATTTTAACACAATGAAAACCAAGAATCTGGAATATGTGCTGTCTGAGTGAGGGTGTGAAGTCAAGGCGATTTGGGCAGGCACAGAGAGATGAAGGCTGGGTGAGTGTAGCCCGAATAGCCAGTGTACTGATGTGGAAGTAGAGCCAGGTAAACTTTGGGAGGAGTGGGGTTGGGAGAAATGGAAGAGGATGATGAAAGAGGCGACATTGATCAAGACGCATTGTACTCACAAACTAGCTCATTGAATAAAACCTCTTTATACAACTACTTAAAGATAACTTTTTTTTTTTTTTTGGTTGGTTGTGGGGTTTGAACACTGGGCTTGGGCGCTGTCCTTCAGCTCTTCAGCTCAAGGCGAGCTCTCTACCGCTTGAGCCACAGCGCCACTTCCGGTTTTCTAGTGGTTTATTGGAGATAAGAGTCTCATGGACTTTCCTGTCCGGGCTGGATTTGAACCGTGATCCTCGGGTCTCAGCCTCCTGAGTAGCTAGGATTACAGGCGTGAGCCACCGGCGCCCGGCTTAAACATAACTTTTAAACGTTGATTGCAAAAAATTAAATAAGAGAAAAGAATAAAATTAGGAAAGCAAATAATATAATAGGAACTATTGGTAGATAGATACATAGATATATAGAATCAATGTAACAAAATGGTGGGATTTTTTTTTTTTTGGGGGGGGGGGTCCGGTCGTGGGGCCTGAACTCTGGGCCTGGGTGCTGTCCTTCAGCTCTTCAGCTCAAGGCTAGCACTCTACCACTTGAGCCACAGCACCACTTCCGGCTTTTTTCTTTTTGCTTATGTGATGCTGAGAAATCAAACCCAGGGCCTCAGGCATGCAAGGCAAGCGCTCTACCACTGAGCCACCTTCCCAGCCCAAAAAAAATGGTGGGATTTTTTTTTGAAAAAATAAGAATGTTAAAATCTGTTTGCCAGCAAACTGGAAAATATAGAAACAAATGAATTTCTACCTATATTTTTCTACCAAAATTGAACCACCTAACACTTTTATAACAGGGAAAATTAAATTGATGTAATAAGAAGGCATAAAGAATAATC